ATATATATATATATATATATATATATATATATATATATATATATATATATATATATACGGCAAGGAAAACCAAGTTTTTCTAAAGTGTTATTAACTAAGAGTAGTATCAGTGATTGATTGTTTTCAGGCTTGGCTAACCCTTATAGAAATATCATACTAAGAATCATTGATAATTACTTATTTTCAGTATTAAAAATACTGGATAATAAGTAATTATCAATGATTCTTAGTATGATATTTCTATAAGGAAAGTTATTTCTTTTTAACTAAATTGTGTTTAAAGTTGATGGCCTATAAAATATTAACTTAATTAAAAGTTAAATTAATATTAAATCAACCTATTAAAGTTAAACTTAATTATGCAAAGCAATATATATATATATATATATGTGTGTGTTCTTATATAATTTTTTTGCATGATGAACATTTCAATCGTAAATTAAATTTATGTAAAATAATAAAAAAGTAAAAAATAAAAAGGTTTTCTTTTATAAGAAAATATGAACTGTATGTGTTTTGTAATTCAGAATTCCAACAAAAAGAGAAACAAGACAAAATGCTACTGGTATTATTTGTTATGTTGCTTATTCTATTTGTAAGCAACCTGAAATGTTCTTAATATTGATGATTTATTTTAAAGTTAACGCATTTTAAAATAAGTAGTTCAAGTTAGAAGTTAACTTATTTGAAATAATTTAAATTAAGCTCTGAGATTACTACTTAATCGATAATGTAATAGAGTCAATATGAGCCAAATATTAAGTGGTGATATATAATAATTTACTATGAATATATGATATAATATATGAATTACGAAAACTTTTTATAATTTAATTAAATTATTACATACTACCACCTAATATTTGGCTCATATTGGCTATATTACATTATTGATTAACTCATTTGATATTAATTAAGTTAAAAACTATTAATTTTTTAACTTAACTTTTAGCTGATTAGTTATTATTTAACTCTGAGTGTTTTAACTTATAGCACCGCTGTACGGAAGAACAAGTCACGCGTGTGCACTATACGGCAAAAAAAGTTTAAACTTTTATGATATTTGTAAAAATTATTCGTGAGATTATTAGTTTTGCAAAAGATTATTACAGTAGGGAAAGGGAGAGAGGAGAGAGGGAACATTAGTGCACAGGAATAATTTTGCGGGCGAACAATATAGTGGCCATCCGTTGCGAAAGGGTTAATGATAAGCGTTCAAGTTTTTGTCTTGAAAGACTGCAAACAGTCATGTTCTGGAATTCGAATTGTTTCGAATATAATTCGACACCGAGGATTCTCGAAGGACCTGGAAAATGTTGAGAATTTCGAATGTCCCGAGGGCATTGGGAGTCTCGAATATTTGTCTACGTACTGATAATAGATGTATAGTGAAAATTACATATAGATGTACATGAGGAACATATAGATGTATGGATGGATGGATGTGTGCGTGCATGTGTGTGTGTGTGTGTGTGTGTGTGTGTGTGTGTGTGTGTAGATGTATGGATTATATTTCAAGATTTATAAAACATTCGAGACTTTTGTGCGCAAAATACTCGAGATATTCGAGTCTCTCGAGAATTCCGGATTTCGAAGTGTTTCCGAAATTTTTGTATACTCAAAGTGACACATCGCGACGTATCAGAACAGATTTTCACCTCGTCGATTCAGCCGCGTACGGAGTATGAGAAGCGACCCGCGTGTGCATCCCTTCATCCGCGATGTGTGCCTGAGACGTCTGAGGAGTACAAAGGTGACTAAAGTGTGTATAAAGTGACAAGTGGCGGGAAACGTGTAACATACATAATGTATACAGGATCGGGGATCTTGCTTGTATCTCGATTAGCGCGCTCCGTATCGAAGAACTGTGATGCAAAACCCGCGCGACCCGAGGTCCCGGGTCGTGGGAGGTCCATTAGCTTGGTGAGAAGCTTAATCAGCACCAATGACTAGTCAGGCGACATTAATGTAAAGTTATCTTGTCAGCGATTTCCAGAACCATTCCTCTCTTTCTTCAAGTTAGCGAGCGCACGTTTGGAGCCAAAATCAAAAGTAATCTGTTACGTGTACGTTCATATACATAAAGAAATTTTCAAAGCGCTGCGACAATACAAACGGCCAAGTCGCGAATGATACGAGGCAAACAAGGCAAAAGAGGCTAAAATTACGAAATGCAAGCGTTTGTCGCGTATTCACTTTAAAATTGACCGAAAATTAATCTCACTCTATCCGTACTTTTAGCGCGTCGCCCGAGAATAAATATTTATATATAATCATATGTGAATATATCTCTATATGTGGCTACATATTATCATACATAATTATATATATCCCCACGGAAAAAAATGTTTTTGTACAAATACAATTAAAGTTACAAATTGCTTACTTTTGTCATAATGCAAAATCAAATAGCAGAGGATATCCCAGAATCATCCTGTACGTGTTTAAAACGTCTGAAAAGTATCCTGAATGGATTTAGGATGATTTCAGAACATCTTGCACTATTTAAGACGTGACGTTTTATCGACTATTAAACTATATTTTTTCTTTTTTAATTTAACAGAATGTTTTCCGTGTGGATATATCCTATAGAGAACAAATGTCTATAATACGTCTTGGAGACATTCTAGAGACATCAAAAAGCAATATGAGCATCTTGTCTTCATCAATGTCTTTTAAACATTTGTGCACGATATAATTATATATGATTATATGTATATATATATATATATATATATATATATATATATATATATATATATATATA